CTTTTTGACTCTTCATCATCTCTCTATAACTATGAGTCAGAACCGGAGAGGAGAGGGCAAGGTGAGTTCGGGAAAACATCTTGCATGCCTCAGTCTGTAAGCAGATCCAGAGTTACTTCAACTTTGGATCTACACTGCTGGTTTATTAGCTGTCTGTTGCACACTCTCAGGTTTTCCCTGGCATTTTTTTAAACTTTGTTTTATTGTGATAAAATCTACATCACATAAAATTTATCATTTTAACCCTTTTTCAGTGTACAGTTCAGTGGCATTAAGTGAATTCACACTGTTATACAACCATCACCACCATCCATCCCCAGAACACCTTCAGCATCCCAAGCTGACACTCTACCCATTAAACACTAACTCTTCATTCCCTCCTCCCACAGCTCCTGGAAACCACCATTCTGCTTTCTGTCTCTGGGAATTTGACTATTCTATGTCCCTCATATAAATGAAATCATACAGTATTTGACCTTTTAGGTGTGGTTTATTTCACTTAGTGAAATTTTTTCAAGGTTCATCCATATTGTATCATGTGTCAGAATTTCATTCCTTTTCAAAGCTGAATAACATTGTACTGTATGTACATATACCACATATCTATCCATCTGTTTGTGGACACAGGTTGTTTCTACCTTTTGTCTACTGTGAATAATGCTATGAACACTGGTATAAAAATATGTTTGGTTACTGCTTTCAACTCATCTCGAGATATATATATATATACACACACACACATACACTAGAAGTTGACTTGATAGAACATAAGGAAATTCTGGGTTTAATTTTTTTTGAGGAACCAATCCTGGCATTTTTTTCCTGCTATAGTTCCAAAATCAGTTCTTACCATCTATTCAAACAGTTATTTTGCCTCTCCAATGTGTTATCATACATTTATGCTAAACTACCTCTCTTCTGCCTGATCCCTTTTTCATTTCCCAAGGTATTTAGAATTATGATCTTATTGCTGATTTTCCCCAAAACACAAACATTGGACCTCACTCCTTGGAACAAACTGCCATTTTCCAAATCATAAACTGCATTAGTTAAAAAAAGTAAGAAACTAACTTTTTAGGGGAGAAAAAGAAGATTTTCAAATCAGTCCAAGATACCAGTCTGGTATGAATACTAGGAAAAGAGAGTTCCTGATTTACAAATATCTCACTAGGAACATCTCTGACATGCATACAGTAGTGGAAATTAGGAGTCAAATTTCTCTTGCAGTAACTAGGGGTCTCCATCTGCGGCCACTGGAAGATCTCAGACTCTGTCTTATTAATGGGATAGCTAGAAACCACCTCTCTCCTAGTGCATCTTCCTCTTTCCTTCTTGCTACCAGAACTATGGGAGGGCCACCCCCCCTGTGGTTACCTGGCATCACAATAAAAGTTCCTGTTCACACTGGAGGGCTGAATTCCTTCAGAAGTAGAAGAATTTTAGCTGGAAAACTGTATGGTTTTTCCATATAGAAGCAATGCTCTTTCACATGTAGTCAACAAATCCTGTTCACTCCATCTCTTAGCTACCTCAAAATCAAACCTTCCTCCCTGTCTCCCCTGTATTGAAGTGAAACCCACCTAGACAACTGCAATGGGCTGAGCTGGTCTTCCCCACAGTCAGGGTTTCTGCTCCACCTTTCATACTATGGGGGAAATCCACCCTAACCAGCTCAATGTCATTATCACTAGTGCCTTGGAATAAGAAGGCTCAAAGAATTTAGCTAATTCACACCTCCGCTGTATGGAGCTACAACAGAGCGCTATCTTACTTCTAGCCTGGTCCATACTTTTCTTACCAGTTGCTTTTTATGTTTGCATGGCTCGTATTTGATTAGCAAACAAGAATGATTGTGACTGAGGCCGTCCATATCTCAAGGTGAGCAGCAGAAGGATAAAGGGATAAACTGCAAGACCAAAATCATCCCATCACCCCTTAGTCATCTTAGTCAACACTGGTATAGTCCCCATTTTCTTCTCTTTCTCTTCAATCTTTTTGAGAACGGTATTGAAAGTGAAGTAGCCAAGGTACTTCTTGCTCAAATAATCTGATTCTTTCCTGAGTACACTTCCTAGCCACTATTTTCACCATTTGAATAGGGAGACTAAAAGGGTTCCTTGACCCAGTTCCACTGTTGGATGGAAGAGGTTTCCACACACCAACAATTCTCTGGATATCGACGTGGTGCCCTACAATTCAACTAAATTCTAACACCATTTACCCAGAAAGAGCATCAAATCTCACAGATTCAGGACTCAGCCCTACAAGGCCACCCATCACCCCTTCAGATGCCAATCACAAGTCCAGGTACCTCTGTACAACTCCCCTCCTTGGACTTCAGACACCAGTTACAAGTCCAGGTTGCTACCTGTACTTCTGACCTACCGACTATAAACCCCCTTCCTGGCTTCCATTGATTTGCTAGAGCAGCTCACAGAATTAATAAAAATATTTTACTTACTAGATCACTGGTTTATTATAAAAAGATAAAATAAAAGGATATATATATGTTTATATATATATGTTTTATAATAAAAGGATATAACTCAGGAACAGCCAGAAGGAAGAGATGCAGAGGGCAAGATATGAGGTAAGGCTGTGATCTTCCATGCTCTCTCCAGGTGCCCCACTCTCCCAGCACCTCCACATGTGCACCAACCCTGAAGCTCTCTGACCCTTGTCCCTTGGATTTTATGGAAGATTCATTACATAGGCACAGTCAATTAAATCATTGCCCATTGGTGACTGAACTCAACCTCCAGCCCCTCTTTTCTCCCCAGAGGTGTGTGAGTAGGTGGGTCTGCAAGTTCCAAACCTCTACGCATAAGGGCTGGTTCCCCTGGCACCAGCCCCCATCCTTAGGTGCTTTCTAAACTCTCCTCAGGAACATAAACGCAGTTGTCGTGAAAAGAGGCTTCTTATGAATAACAAAATACTCATTTCACCTTTATGGCTCTGAAGCCATTTCAGGAACTAAGGACGAGAGACCAAATATTGTAAAAAAAGATGTTCCCGTTGTTCTTACCGCTCAGGAAATTCCAGGGGTTTTGAAAGCTGGGAGCCAGGAACTGTGGAGGAAGAACAAATACATTTGAGAAATAGATATTTGGTCATCTGAATGACCAATTACGTATTTCTTAAAAGTCATGATAATCACAGGGACTTTTCAACCCTCTGCAAATTTAAATCTCAGAATGTAATTGTGAAACTGTAGTTAATTTCTAGATGTTTAGAGAAACTTCTTGGTTCTTGCTTCATCATCATGATCTGCCACCCTCACCACCCTGCCGAAAACTTCCCCATTAAAACACTGCCACCACCACCAACAAAATTGGTTGCAAATACTTTTATGAGCAGCCTTAAATTCTCTTTAAGTCAAAGCAAAGGTGAATGTTAATTAAGTTAGAATTCAAGAGGCCATTTGTCCTGGTTGACCTAGGGCAGTCCCAGTTTATGCCTACTGCCCTGTATTAGAGGAGCTCTCCCCTTCACTCTAAAAAAGGGCTTCCAGTTTAGTGGATAAATTATATGTTAGCCCTACTGTGAGTAAAAATGTAGTATTTCCAGAATAGGTCGCCTGGCTTTAGTATATCTGCATATCAATAGGCGTTCAGAGGAGGAAAAAGTACGGCTTTAGGTCATTTGCATATCCTCAGGGGTGGAGAGAAGTTCTCCATATCAATGGGTAATTACCTGGGCGAGGAGGGCTTATCTGTACCTGAGAGGTGAGGGGGAGTGCTGATTTTGCTTCTGCCAGAGCAGGAAGAGAGAAACGGTCCCGGACCGCACTTTGTAAGCAATAAACGGATTTTAAATCTTATTTCTCCCTTTGCCTGATTTCGGTTTTTAGAGGTATTTTTCCCCGGGATTTCCTCTCCCTGGACTTACACCTACTTAAAAATACACTTTGGTTTTACAGTAAAATGCTTCCCAGGTAACAGTGGACTTTTGCCCACATCACTGCAATTTACTTGCACAGTTCTCAAAGTAGGTAGGGAAACAAACGTTATCTCTATTAAATAAATTAACAAAGGCTTCAGGTAGTAGGTCGTGACTGTTCAAAGTCACACAGTGACAGATTTAGAGCCAGTACCCAGGCCTCCTAACTCCAAATCCAGTATTATTTGTTCTGCTGTCGACCACTTCAGAAAAAATACCTGAGTAAAGGCAGACCTCACTGTCTTGGTAACCTGCTTAAACATGGACCTAGAAAAGTTTAGACAGGTTCACCCTTGTCCAGAAACTGTTCTTTCACATTTAAAGCAAGCAAAGAGATGACAGAAGAATTACATAAAGAGGCTATTAGTGAATCCTGGGGCCAAATGACATATATTTTTTACCTGGTGTAATTACATCAGATTATTGGAATCTTACACCTAACCAAGTTAGGATGTCACAGTTAACCACAGAGAAGAGAGGAGGAAAAGCAAAAAAAAAATCAATAATGAATACCTATTGTTACAAAGAACCTATAAATGGGTTCTGCCCTGTCTTATAGATATATTTTCCCTATGTTTACGGGCTAATTCTTTAAAAAAAAAAACAAAACTAAAATCAGTGGAGTTCTACCCTCCCTGGGTAAGGGGCAATGAGACCACAGAGGAAAACCCCTCAGTCCCTCACAGACAGGCACAGTGCTTGGCAAGGGCTGCAGGGTATTGCAGAGGTGCTGAATGCGGCGCCACACCAATACATAAAGGCACACTCTCCTAATCTGCTGGCGGCCTGGCCCAAGAGAGGACCAAAGGACGCGCGGGTCCCTCCCTGTCTCTGCTAAGACAGAAAGGAGCCCAGGTGCCTCGGAAAGCCTGACTCCAAGCCGCCGGCCAGTCTAGCCCGACCGCAGCAGAGAGGTGGACGCCTTGGCGCCGGCCGCGGGCACCACAGCCTGACAGGGCAGACGGCCGGCCTCGCCCTGCTCAGGAGGGTCGGCGCTGAAGGTAAGAGGGCAGCGGAGGACAGGCGCGCTCGCCCCGGACGGGAGGAGGGCTGCGCGCATGCGCCCGCCGTCCCGCTGGCCGGAAGAGCCCGGCGGCCGAGCCGCTGTGCCGGCGCCAGACGCCGTGGCGGCCACGCGGAGAGCGCCGGCTGCGCGATGCGGCCCCTGGACGGCACCGGAGAGGCGGAGCCGCCGGAGTCCGGGCTGCCGCTGACAGACCACGCGCCCCCGGACGCCAGCGAGGAGCCGGCGGCCGCCGAGGCGGAGGAGACGCCCGGTCCCCGCAGGGGCTGGCTCTGCTGCTCCTCGCCGTGCGCGCAGCCGGGTGAGTGCGGGGTGCCGACCCGGGCGCTGGTTTCGCCTCTGACGCGGTCGGGAGGGCGCCCGCAGGCGGGGTCCCCGCAGCCGCGGGCGGGGGCGCAGCACGGACCGCGCCCCCCGTCCGCGCCCTGCCCCGAGCTCGGGAGAACCCCCGAGCTGTCACCTAGGGGACTGCAAAACAGAATCCTCCTGTGCCCCCGCCGCCACGAAGACCGGAGAAAGTTTCTGAGTCTGTTTGGAACCGCTTTGGGATTCTAAAACTGTTCCTGTGACCTAAGGGTTGGGCAGGACGGCAGAGGCAGATGGCTGCTCGCGGCGCCCTGCCTGAGGTCGGAGGTTGGGGCTCAGCGAGAGGCCATCCCGCAGCCGGCCGAGGTGGGGAGGAAGCTAACCTTGAAAACTGAGCCCCGTAGTTAACGGTGTCCCCCGAAGAGGAAGCTGACGAGCATGGAGTCCAGAAAATGTTTGTCCTCAGAGTCTTAGAATCTCGAGAAGGCAGAGTTGAGTGGGACCACTGGTTTTTAATCTTTTTGGGTTATGAGGACTTCTTTTTCTTTTCCTTTTTTAGCAGCTAATGCAAAATGAGGCAGAGGCACAATCTTACATTGTTAAGAGGTTCACAGACCGGTCCCCAAAGCCAGGGACCCCGTGTGAAAAACTTTTGATCTTATTCAACCTCTTCCTTGACAAACGAAGAAAGTGAGGCCCAGGAAGGTGAGGGCTTTGGGGAAATTTTGCTTTGTTTTCTGAAGAAAATGGTGTATGTGGGTGAGACAGCACCAGGGTTAGGATCCCAACTTGCCAGAGACCCAGCCTAGGGCCCTTTCTACTGACCACATTCTTTCTTGAACTCCAGTACCCATCTAGAGCAGCTTCCTGGAAGAAGAGGGAAATAGGCAGAAAATCTTTAGAGACAAAAGTTACACAGTCTGCACCACCTCATCCTCTGGGTCGCCTCCCCAAGTTTCTACACCTCTTACCCACCCCACTTTTTCTCTCCTCTCTGCACTTTCCCCAGTTTAGAGAGAGGAACCTCAGGAATGTGATTCTTGCTCCATTTTTGTCCTAAGTGCTAACAGAAATGATTATTTATGCATGGGCTGGTGCCTCCAAAGCAGGGTTTGCCCCAAGCTGGGTTTGCCCCAAGCTGGGTTGATCAGATTTGTAACCTTTGAAGAGAGCAGTTTCACTATGGCTAAATGTCATTCTGGTGGAATGCCAAGTCAGTCCTTGAAAACTCTTAGTTTCCCCTGTTTGTGAACAGAAGAGGAATACTGTATGCTCAGAGAGCATGTGGCAAAACAACACACTTACAGGTGATTGCATCTAGGAGTTTTGTCTTTTTACTTCAAAGGAAGTTGCCAACAATAAGACTTAGTTACTGTAAGGTGACCAGATAATATTCCAAAAACAGGATTGTCATAGAAACACTTTAATCCACTGTACTGTTGTTGTTGAACTTGGTGACAGTCTCATTTTAACTTTTTGATCCAACTGAATATCTCAGGAAAGCTCGTGTTTAAGTTCAGGTTGAAACTATTACCCATTTTTCTTACATTCTTGGATAACCCTCACAGACAGCATACAGCTCTCCTAAGACATCTATGTATTTTCTTGAGACAGCATGGACCTTAAACTGAAGCAAGAGTTACCGTCTTGGGCCTGTGCCTCACATCCCCCTGGAAGGAGTGAGTTCTCTAGGGTAGCAGTGGTTCTTAAACCAGTGGAGCTTTTTTAGAGATCCTGTTTCAGGGGTAGGGCTTGGGAATTAAGGTTTAAAAAGTTACTCATTTGTTTCTAATCCCCACAACTCAGGAAACTGTATTGTGGCCACTTACTTATTTTGACTTCTTTAGAGTTGACAAATTATTAGTTATGTTTGTATTGGAACATAATCATGGAAGCACATTATATTAACATGCCTCTTGGATTATGCTACTCTCTTCCTTATCTCCATTGACAGAGAAAATTGAAACTTATCCAGTAAGAGACTGAGGTTTGCCTGAGTAGAACCAGTTCTCACCCTCGTAACAAATCACATTCAACTACACCTTGTACCAGCTGCCCTGTCCCAGTCAGAAATGGACCTTAAGTGTTTATAGGCAAGAAAAAAATCAGTGTATATGTTTTAAGGGAAAAGATAATCAGAGCTAGGAGTGTAAAGTTAAGTTTTAAAAGAGTTAAAGTATGTTAAGTTAAAATATTCCTGGAGAAAATTTTAAAAGTTTAGGTTGGAGAAGATTCTTGAAATATAGACCCAGGGAGCTATTTTCTGTCCTTGACCTTCCTGTTCTGTTCTGAGGGTGTAGGTTCTATGTATGGGTTGGGTTTCTTTTAAGAAAACTATTTTATTTGGACCTGAATTCTGAAATTTCAGAAGCTGAACTCTCAGGCTGACCACATCCAAGACATGTATTTTGTGGTGCTTAATTTGGAAGTTTTCTAAAGCTTCCTTCTCATAGGCTGAGTGGGTATTGGCAGTTTGTTTCTGCAGTATCTGAACAGAATAAGGAAGGTTCTGTCACGTGTACCAGATAACCTGTAACATGATGACTAGTAGCTACAAATCATTCACTTCACCTTTGCACCTTAAACAGGAAGAGGTGACCAGAATGGCATCTTTTACTACGAAGGTCAGGCTGTAGAATGCCCCCGGAAAGACCACATTGTTATACTTTGATCCTGATGACTGTCACTTGTGGGCGAAGGTTTCTAGCTAACATGAGGATATCAAAATCGATGTTTGCATTTATCAGAGAACAGCATTTTAAAAAATTGTTATGCAGTGCTGTCCTGTAGCTGAGTAACACATTGTAAATTTCTAGATTGGGATGGTAATCCTAGTTTTACTACAAATCGCATGTCCCACACATCCTTCAGCTCTGCTATGCTCTTAACTGATGAGGGTCAGCTGTATTTCCTTCTTATTCTCTCCTAATTTTTGTGTTTGTTTCAAAAAAGAAAAAAATAATATATATAATCCGCAGCGAGTGGCCAACCTTTTAGGGATGTCCATTTTGCTCTCCTGAATGACAGGGGTTGAGATTAAAGTTCTACTACTGTCTTAGGAAACTAGCAAAATGCTCATACAGACTGTTAATAGATTAAATACTTGATGCCTGAAGAAAAGCAAAAGTTTCCTAAGTTCACATCAAGGCAAGAAGTTGGTATTAGATGGCAGTTCTAATAAAAAAAATTTTTTTAAGCACATCAAGGTCAAAGGGGTAGAAAACCTAGCTCCTGCCCTCAATGGGTTTATGCTGTGAGTGGAAGATGAGTCATAAACCATGGAAAGTTAGAAATTCGATTAATGGTTTAAATTACAAAAGAGAGAATCTTCCCTGATTGTGCTGTCACCAATGGTGTTAGACTCTGGGTCTGTCCATGAAATTCTCTTGTGCTGTTTCATTCAGCAAATATTTATTCAGGGTCATCCATGTGCCAGGTATGAACAAGACAGCTGAGGTCCCAGCCCTGGAGGAGCTAATAGGCTTGTGGGGGAAGTTCAGATAATCAACAAGTAGCCATATAACGCAGTTATAAACTGTTTTCCATGGGAAAAACCCACATTCTTTATAAAGTGCAGTTCACCAGTGAAAAGATTTAAAATACCATTTGGAAGCATTTTCTCTAGCCATCTTGACAGCATTTCTTAAGATTTCTGTCTTGGCAAGCTTTTTGCTTATCTTCATACGCGAAGGATGATTCTTCAGTGAGCCAAAGAGAAGCTATTTTATAGGATGAAACCATTAAAAAAAACACAGGCTTAAATTGGTGCCCTTCATCTAGTGGGTCTTCATTCTTGGTGGGAAAAATGGTTCAGGACCAGAAAATGGATATGCTTAGGAGGTAACATTTTTATCCTGTTAGCCATGAACACTGTTCCATTTTACTCAATTTCTACGTGAAAATGATAAAACATACACTTGGAAGCAAGGACTAACCAGAATTTAATCTTTTGCAGAAGCCAAGAAGAAAGCACCCTGTCCTGGACTTGGCTTGTTTTATACATTATTGTCTGCCTTCTTTTTCTCAGTGGGCTCTTTATTTGTTAAAAAAGTGCAAGACGTCCATGCTGTAGAAATTAGTGTATTCCGATGTGTGTTCCAAATGCTAGTCATTATCCCTTGTTTAATATACAGAAAGTAAGTATTTACCTGAAAAGTAGAAAGTATTAATAAATGTGAATCTTTTGACCTGCTTAAATTAATTTCTCTAGCATATCTGCTTTATCCCTATCATAGATTTACGAGTTCCTCCACCTTTTGTCTCTGGTTAAAGAACAGTCACAGGATCCACCCACAGAAGATGCTGTCATAAACACAAACCACATGCCCAACAAAAGGGGAGGAAGAGATTCAGTTATTCTCTACCCACCATTTTGAGAACAAAGCTTTCCTTGTATAATTCCCCCCATTTTGTACCACCCTTCCTTCTTTCCTTTGGAATAACTAGTGTTTAGAAGAAAAAAGTGAATGAAAGGAAGTGGTAGTGTCTCCTAGTTTTCTAGGAGAAACCTAAGGTTTCTTTAAATAAAATAGGCTGGTCTGCTCCAGGGCAGACAGAAGGTTACAGTCGTAATATTTAGGTCTTCCCTGTAGGCTGATGTGGGAAAGAGAAAGGAAAGCTTAAGCAAGGCCTTTTAACTACTTTCATGTTTGGTGTTCTTACCAATGAACTAGAGGGAATGATACTCTTTTTTTCTCTACCCTGCACCTCAGTTGCAAGGGTCAAATCAAATTGATTATAGAACAGAATGCTTTAATGTAGAATGTAACAGTATATGAAAACTATTCTTATTCCCCATCCTCACTGTTCTCTCCCCATGTAGCTCCCTTCCCCTTCCATATGGAACTTCCCCCATCCACTCCCCAGGTTTAAATTGTACCTTCTCTGCACCATTATAACCACTGCACTCCTACGTACTTCAGACTCTGGAAAGAGAGGCCAGTTGGGTCCTTGGTGGCTTCCTGACTCTTTCTCTGGAAAAAGATGTTTAAGCCCCAAATGAAAAGCTTCAGTTGCTTGCTACCAAAGTCTCCTCTGTTTATGACATGATGCAGATTCACAAAGACTTTCACTCTGTTACCCCAAGGACTTGGTGAAAAAGGTGAAAATTTGCTAACATCAATGTTGCCCAAAATTCCTGTGTAAGTGTGGACAAGTCACAGTATTTTAGGGAATTATGGTAAGACTTCAGAGATTTCTAAGGGTGGCAGCAGACCACTGATGCTAACACATCATTTTTCCTGTTTTGATGTAAAATTATTGGCAGGGGAAGGCACTTAGAAGAATTTTCTTAAATCCTTGGCACTAATCTGTTTTGACCCATTGTATGTTTCACTATCATGGAAGGCTCTTATTTTCTCAAAGTAAAGACCAAAGATGACCACACTTTCATTTCTAGCTTCACAGACCCAGGGGTCCCCATATCAGGCCTACGTGATGCCCTAAAGATATCTAGCCCTGCACAGATCACCGAGTGTACCTAGCCAGGAACTTAGACACTCTGCTGAGTAACTATTTAATTGAAAAAAAATTGAGTAGTATTTATTATACTTATCCAAATGCTACATGTTGTTTTTCTTTGCATTTTAACTTTTCCTGCTGTGAAAAAATAAAAAGTTATCTCACATTCAATAGCTAAAATCTAACATTGCTTCAGCTTTTATAGAAAACCATAAGATTGGGAATGTACACTAGCCAGGACTAAGTTTTCTCATACAGGGCAGCTAAATCTGGAAATTGGGTTTATTATTTTAAAAAATCACACATATTCATTGTACAAAATTTAGAGAAAATGGTTACAAAGAAGAAAAATTACCTGTGAACCTGCCTATCAAGGTTTAACCATAATGAACATTTCAATATATTTTTCTTTTTGTCTTTTTTGCATGTATAAACATAGGGAAAATATCTATTTGCTGAATTAAAATCATACTATTTATGCAGTTCTCCTGTACTGTTTTTGCTATACCGTCATTGCATGGTCATTAGCTATACCTAGAAAGCATTTCTTAAAGGTGTATAATATTCATTTGTGGACATTACCATAATTACTATACCTTTTTTTTTATAGGACTTTTAAAATAGTGTTTCATTAAAAGTTGTGATTTTAAAACAAATAGCAAGTTTGTTTAATATGCATCCCTTCGTTTGAATTTACAGGACTGGGTTTATAGGCCCAAAAGGTCAACGAATCTTCCTTGTTCTCAGAGGAGTCTTGGGTTCCACGGCTATGATTCTTGTATACTACGCTTTCCAGTCCACGTCCCTGACTGACACAATTGTTATCACGTTTAGTTGTTCAGTATTTACAACTATACTTGCTTGCATATTTCTCAAGGAAAAATACAGCGCCTGGGATGCTCTCTTCACTGCTTTTACAGTCACTGGAGTGGTCCTTATTGTGAGACCACCATTCCTGTTTGGTTCAAGCACAGCAGGGATGGATGCAAACTATTCGGTTCACCTGCAGGGCACGTTCGCAGCACTGGGACATGCCTTGTTTGCTGCCATGACTCTGGTTATCCTGAGAAAGATGGGGAAGTCTGTGGACTACTTCCTGAGCATTTGGTACTATGTGATACTCGGCCTCGTTGAGAGCATCATCGTCCTCTTTGTATTAGGAGAATGGAGTCTGCCGTACTGTGGGTTGGACAGGCTGTTTCTCATACTAATCGGGCTGTCTGGTTTGGGGGGTCAGGTGTTTATCACGAAAGCCGTTCAAATAGAAAAAGCAGGGCCAGTAGCATTAATGAGGACTATGGATGTGGTCTTTGCTTTTATCTTTCAGATTGTTTTCTTTAACGATGTTCCAACATGGTGGACGGTGGGGGGTGCTCTTTGCGTAGTGGCTAGTAGTGCTGGTGCAGCCATTCGTAAATGGTGCCAGACTTCCAAATGAAGTTATTGCCGAAATGTGTATGGGATTTTTTTTTTTTCAAGTACACTATCACCCAGTTCAGACACACCACACATGCCTGGAAAACCTGCTATTTACTTTGTTGATTATATTTAATAAATTTCACAATTAAAGTACCATTTTTGAATATGGTATGTCTTTCATTAGTTAAGAATAGTCAGCAGTTTCACGTAGCAATTTTTTTTTTTTGCAGTTTATTGGTTTGGGTTTATTTGTTTAGGTGTTGATAAGAGGGCAGACCATTAGATTAAAAAAATAAAATTTTTTTTATGACTAGTATAAATATATAATTTTTATTTGGTACTGATGGGATATGAGTGGGAAAGTTAGGTGCTCTTTTAGCACTGTAGAGGCTAAGAAACTTATTAAGAGTAATGCTGCTATAATTAGTACTCTGTTTATAATTCATTTGAAGCATAACTCTAGGAGGCTAAAGCTGCAGCTTGGAATAGGTGCCTACTTTAATGGTGTTAATACAAAGTAGCCTTATTCTCAAGGCTTTTGTAATGATTATTATTCTTTTAAATCGTATTTGTGCCTTTTCATTCATAATGCTAGATCTTAATACATAAATTTTCTTAAAAGTTTTTAAATCACCAAACTTGGCTAATTGTTTTCTGTTACAGTAGCATTGGCAATGGTAGCTTTTCTATAATGTAAGTTGGCCTCTGTTTCTTGAAACTGCACTAAGTTTTGCTTACCTTTCTAAGATTTCAGGTCTTTAAATTACAAGAGAAATCTTGGCATGGCCAATGTGTACATTTCCATCCGGAAGTGTTTTCTCCTAACTAGAAATGTGATATTCTTTAAATTCTCTTTGAATTTATAGTATGATGTCAAATAAAATTTTCTCAGGATTTTATTAGGTTGAACCATAAAAAATTGCTGAGATTTTACCTTTTTAACTTAAAAAAATCATGACTCTTATGGTTCACTAATAGATACCTCCCTTACTCTCTACACCAAATACTTAGATTTTGGAATATGTGTTTTTAAAACAACTTTTTAAAATACAATTATCTTATAAACTTTTTTTTGTAGTCTTTTTCCCTTAAGGAATTCTATGTAGTAATGCTTCGTGTTATATGTTAAATGTAAAGAACTGTGAGTCCATGGTTGATTGATTTTTCTTGTTTCTCGAATAGAAAAGAAATCACTGTTAAAATCTAGTATATCAGTATGATATTAAATGTCAGTGCTGTGTCATGATACTAATGGCATGAATTCAAACAATACATTTTATATCTGCAACTTCGTCAGGCCAATATTCTGCAGTTAAAGGGAGAATTTAATATTTAGGAAAGCTTAGAAGGTTAATCAGGAAGTAGAGAGTACATGCAAATGATTCTTTGTCACAATGAACCCTTTATTGGTGAGGCTGTCATGGTCTCCAACTCTTACTATGTCAGACCTAGCATCTATTATTTTAAGCCTGCAGATCTGAAATGATTGTAGGCTCTTTCCCACCCTTTCATCAGTTCCTCCAAAGAAAAAAAGAGCTTGGGTTCTGAGGTTTATGCCTTGATGAGAAAGACTCTTTTCCAATAACTCCCAAGAGGGTATGTTTGGCTTGCTGATTTTCTGAAATGCTTCCCACCTGACAAATCCTAAGTGAAGTCTTTTTAGAGTAGTCACACTATGATTATAACGTTAGCCTAATGCACAATATTAAAGTTTAGAGTTGGAAAAGCAATATGTTGCAAGTATCTTAGATAATCACAGAATTGGCATATTTTTTAGTTTAAAGGTTAGAAAACACAGGAGTCATGCTCCACAGATACGGATGCTAGGGAGGGGGACCTGCCCAATACGGATTCCCATTGTCTTTTCCTCTCTCTTAGCTCTATGAAAAAGTATGAAAAGTAAACCACTGCTTGAGCTACTTACAGTAAATTAACTCTCAGGGAGCCCTCTCCTGGTTCTTTACTCTGCACAATAAAAGAACTGTTGGGACCTTGAAAGTTGAATGCCTTTAGGCCAGGATGCTAAAGACATGTTTTATTTCAACAGTGTGGTGTAAGTACTTGAATGTCACACTATAAGACCAAAGTTGGAGACAATGTTTCTTCTCCCAACTTCTACAGGATGTAATTCTTAAACACTTTTATAATGTCCGAGGCATATACCAGGATATGTATTGTAACAATTAAGGGTGTGTGTATTTTGCAAAGATTGTAGTTTCTATATCTTACAAATGAAAATATTTTCATAACTTGTTTTTATTTTGTAACTACTAATAAAATTAATATGAAAGCTATATTTCTGTTTTATGATTATAGCAAATATGCTAGCTAATATAACTTATTTATCAGCTTATTTTTCATCCATGTGCTTCAAAATTCATTTTACAAAGATTGACCTCTAGCCATTCAGCTGTGATGTAATCTCAAGGTTCAAACTGTTTATCTGTCCCTCTGATAGTGTCACATCAAATCCAGTATCTCTAAAATAAAGGCCCAAATCTTCTGTTCCAGTGTGGCCTTCATTGTTCTAGACCCCCAGGGCTTGGAGCAGCTTTGAACTCTGCACTTCCTGGAGTGTCCGTCTTACTGTCTGGTGGATTCATTATTTCCTTGTCATTCCTAGTGCTACCATCTTAGTCCAAGATTTACCACCTCACAGCTGGATTACCAACAGTATCCTAATTGAGTAACTCAATTTTAGACTCTTCCATTCAGATCCTTATCTCACTGCCAGACTATTTTCCAAAAGCCCCTTCTTTCATTGTTGCTGTGGTTCTCTTGAAACCACAATGATGTCTTCTTATGCACTACATCATGTCCAGATTATTCATATGGCCCTATTCCCACTCTTCCAACCCGATTTCTCATGTTCCAATGCAAACTCCATACTCAGATCAATCTCCCCACCACCTCTGACACTGAGCAGGAGATTCCTTTCTTTGTGTTCCCTGCTTTCTTTGCCATTGAAAGCCTCCTAACCACCAATGGTTCAGCTTGAGCTTTTGTGTCTTCCACTGTCTCTAGCTTCTCCCACCCACACTAGTCTACCTTGGAAGAGGGGATAAAGCACTGGATTAGGGGGCTGAGGATCTCAGTGTGGTTTTACACTTTCCAGCTGGGCAATTCACTTAATGTACCTAAGCCTGTTTCCTTCATTTGCCTCGCTTATTAGATAGAATAATACAACTTGCCCAACCCATGTTAGAAATGAGTGCTATTAGGAGAACTTGTAGACCATAGAGGATACAAATACTAAGTATTGAACTATGGTTACTGCTTCAGAGTTGAGCATTTACTCTCCTCTTCAAAATGGTTCCTATGCCAGTATCTTTATTCCTGAGCAGTCTCACCAGGAGCCTGTAGGAACAGTCTTCTAGATTTCAAACCTCATTTGTCTCCCTCCTGCTGGTATGGAATTTCCCTGTTGGACAACTCTCATTTCCTGGCTCATCTGCCCGTTGGGACTGCCAAGGGTCACCAATCTTTTTATCTTCATACAGGTGTTGCCACCTTTTGAATTCTTGCTTTAACTCTGGTCCTCTGTTGCACTTGGTTGTGGCTGAGGAAATGAGCCTGATTCTCAGTGTTTCCCATGCACTATTCTCTACACCCAGTATTGCTCTTCTAGCCTTTTATCTATTCACCCAATAAGCATAATTAGTCTTGAGGGTAATCTAGTAGGAAGAGAGCCAGATGCCCTTGGTAACATGCTGGCCTCTAACCTAGCTATATGGGGCCATGGTCAGTACTGGGCATTAGAATTTGGTTATTAGGGTTTGTGTTTAGGTACATGAAGCCTGGGCATTACTCCAAGCACACTGCTACATGGCCCCTTTGGTTCCCTTATATCTAATACAGCTACTATTCATTTAGAATCCTACAAGATGCCCTATCAGGGACTCTGACTCACAAAGAAAGAGCCAACCTGTTTTAGCTATTTGAACATTAGGTTTGAAGAGCTGAACTTGGAAAACCAATTCATAGACAGCCCATGAAATTGACACTTGCCATCATTTCCTAGAGATTGGGGATGGGGCTTTATAGAAAGAGGGTAAGGAGCAGACGTATCTGGTGTGAAGGCAGGGCAGGAAATGTACCATAGAAAGCTAGTACAGAAAATAGATTCCACTGGATTCCACAAACTCCATGTCGGCTATTGTCTATTAAGTCAGATTTGCAACAATATAAAACAATGCTATTCTTCTAATTTTTAAACAGCTACTTTTCATAAGAATGTTATTTATGTTAACATATAATGGAATCATTTTTAATAAACATTACTTTTTTTCAATTTTGCTTTCAAATATGGCAACTAGTATAATCTACATAAACAGGAACTCTTTGGAGTTCTCAATAATGAATGCTTAAGAGAATAAAGGGGTACAAGATCAAAGAACTTCCTAGCTGCAAATTTTGTAGAGTCAACAAATTTGAAACGTCAACAAAGGTTAAACCCATCATCAAATCTAATTTCTTTATGAGGCTCTGACAGTCTGAAATGCAGCTAGATAACAGTTTGTAAATTAGAAACAACTTTAATGTGATGCTCCATTTTAGAATTGCGAAGTTAAACAAGTCTAAGTCTATAAAAGAGATCCAAGTGATCTACCCAAGATAGAGCAAAGGAACAACAAGCGATCCAACTGTCCCATGGTCAGAGAGTCAGAGAGAATTGCTTCTATTACTTCCTCTGTTGTGTTTTCGTTCCGTTGTATGTGAATTTTAGAAAACTCAGAAGACTGGTCACTTGCAGGTAAATGTGTGCATTGGTACAACTTCTATGAAGGGCAATTTGGCAGTATCTATCAATTTACAGATGACATACTTTTTCACCCAGAAATTCTGTTCCAGGAATTTATCTTAGAGATATACTTGCTTATTGCACATGTGACATGAATGAGATCATTCACTGCAGCATTACCTATAATAGCAAAAAATTAGAATTAGTCTGATATTGCTCAGTAGGTTACTGGTAATATAAGTAATGGTACACATACAAAATAAAATATAACACCATTAAAAATAAAGATGAGCAAGGGAGGTTTTCACATATGAGTGTGGAATGATCTTCAAGACTGTTGAGTGAAAAAAGCAAGATTCAGATAGTAATACCGTAGAGTATGTGATCATTTGTATAAAGAGGGGGTAAAGAAAATATTCCAAGAGGATACACAAGCAATTGGTAACACTGGTTGCCCTTAGGGAGAAGTATTTGGTGTCTGAAGGACAGGATGGGAAGAATACTATTCACTGAATCCTTTTTCATATGTTTGAATTTCGATCCATGTGGACATACTGTCAAAAAATAAACTGGTGGAACAAAAACAAAAAGGAAAGGAGAAAAAAGGGGGGTAAAAGTGAGAGAAACACATACATATGTACACACGTATGTTGAGAACTGCTTAGTGCCTTAATCTGAGCTATCACCCTGGCTCACCATTACTGGCTTCCTTTCGCTTTCCCTTTTTTTTTTACCTCATCCAGTCCACACATCAGACTTAATTTCCCACATGCTCAGTGACTGAAGGAAATAGAAAAAGAAAACCTGAAGTTTTTTTATAGAAGAATATCCTCCAAGGTCCCAGAAAGCATTGCCCAGCCCTAAGCCAAATATCTGCCTTTCCATAGTACCAAAATTATTTTTACTTGGACAGGAAATGAACATTTATTAAATATGTCCCATCCAGACCAGGAGCTCCTTGATCTTTTTCTCAGCCCTTGCCAGCTCTGGGAGATAGGCTGATTGGGAAACAAGTTCAAAGAGGCTGAATGGGTCACCTGCTTGGTAAATTCCAGTGCCCTCCTAGTAAATAGTGGCATTAGCCCACTACACTGGGTCTGCCTGACCCCAAAGACTTTGACCCTTCCAATATCCCATGTCACCTTCCAACTGGGTAGAACGCAGGCTAGGGAATCATTGTGATGTTTGTCACTGTAGTAAAAGGATCTTTTTCTTGACTTTGGGATTTGAAGGTATGTAAGCCCTCCTCCTATCTCCTTCCCCCTTGTGTAGCAAGAGCTGGATATGAAGGAATAGAAGATGATGACAACACTGCTTATATTTTAGTTTTATTTATTTCAATCTACATCAATCTTTATTGAGTAGTAGCCACATGCAATTATAGTCATTGCAAGGAGACATCAAATATTATCAAGCCCTCAAAATGGTCAAAATTAGATGTGAACATGACATATACATAGGACATAATCCATACCCATGGGCTACAATAAAAAACTCAACATGAGATGCCTCCTGAGGTCTCATGCCAGGACAGAACAGAGCTATGCAATGTCACCTAAATATACAAAATTGAATTCTGGGCCAGCCACATTCAGGCCTAACTTCCTCAGTTGTACTAAGAAGATTTCTAAGAGTGCAATACACCAATCAAAAGAAATGTTGGCCAGCCTTGGAAGCAGGAAAGGAGGGTGGCTCTGGGAGACATGTTCCCATTGCAGAGATGGAATGCACCAAGATGGTGAGTTCCCAGACTTTCCCCTATGGAGAAACTAGCTATTAGTTGCCGAGAAGAGTCTGGAGCCATAATCACAGAGGCATAACCATAATCTGGAGCTATAACATAGCAGCAATAACCACTATGTTTTATTGGGTCATTCATATGTCAACTACTGTCCTAACTGATTTGTTCTCTTGTTCATTGAGTCTTTGCAACTCTGTGAGGAAGACTTTTTATTGCCTTCATTTCATCATTGAGGAAATAGAGGCTTAGAGATGTTAAATGACTTGTCCAAGGTCATATAGCTTATAAGTGGCAGAACCTGGTTCTTAAAACCTGGTCTGTCAAACTCCAAGCCAGTGCCCTTTACTGCTCACCCTAAGCCTGCAGCTGCCCATCTTAAGCTCAAGACTTCTTGGAGGCCTCATGTCTTTTTAAAAAACTCATTCACTGTTTTGCATCCTAATTAAGAATATTTTTAAAATTCATGCAATATCTTTGCATCCTAAATAAGAATCTGTGTGTTTTAGCATAAGTATATTATTTTAAATTACCAATTCAGTTACTCGACTTTTTATTTCCCAATAGTTTGGTACTCTAAGAAGAAGTACCATGTTTATCCTGGGTTCTGTGTCCCCACCGGCACACTGCGTTATAGCTCAGGAACTCCTAAACTCCATTTTAAGAAGCATGGCCCAATGGTCAAGAAGTCAAGCCCTCATGCTACTGAAATTACAAAATCGACCCCCTTTTCCTTTGCATATCCATGCTATCAGTATCCATGTGACTATAATTTGGCTTCTCACATACTTTAAGTGCAGAAGAGAATTGGCCTA